CCTCCCCACTCCGGGGGAGGACCCCGGGGGGCGCCGGGATCTCTTAACGCACAAACACGGCGCGGGGAAGGAAGGGAGGGACCCCCCTGCTCCTGGAAAGGTGGGGAGGGGTCTCACGGCGGTGGTGCCCCCTCCCCGCCCCGGTGCAGTTGGGGGGGCCGGGGCCGATCTTGAAAAGCTGCTTCCGCAAACTCGTCAAAGCTGCAAAAAAAAGAAAAAAAAAAAAAAAACCAACAAAACAAAAAAAAAGTTTAAGGTAAAAATCTTTAAAAAAAAAGAAAATTTAAAAAAACGCAAGAAAAAAAAAAAAACAGAGGAAAAGCTCGAGTGGGGGGGGATGAGAAAGTTTTAACAGAAAAATATACGAGAAATTTAACTTTCAGAGCTGTACATAGGCCGGGGCGTGTAGAAATCCCGTTTTTACCAATACCGGAACCACTGGATGTTATTTTAAATAAAGCGCGTGAGAAGCCGAGGCCGCCTGATCCCTCCTGGGGGGGTCTGGGGGGGACAGGGGTGACAGCGGGTTCAGTCGAGGACAGCCCTGGTTCTTGATGTCCCCAAAATCAGTGACCTTGCCCTGGGTGACCCCGAGCTGTGTCCCACCCTTGGGGACCCTCATTGCTGTCCCCACCCTTGGGGACCCTCATTTCTGTCCCCACCCCCGGGGACGCTCGTGTGTCCCCATCTTTGGGGACCCTCCTGTGTGTCCCCACCCCCGGGACCCTCATTTCTGTCCCCACCCCCGGGGACCCTCGTGTGTCCCCATCTTTGGGGACCCTCATTTCTGTCCCCATCCCTGGGACCCTCGTGTGTCCCCACCCCCGGGACCCTCGTGTGTCCCCACCCCCGGGACCCTCGGGATTTGGGGTGTCCCAGGATTTGGGGTATCCCAGGTATTGGTGTGTCCCGGGATTTGGGGTGTCCCAGGATTTGGGGTATCCCGGGTATTGGTGTGTCCCGGGATTTGGGGCATTTGAGTGTTTGGTGTGTCCCAGGATTTGGGGTATCCCAGCTATTGGTGTGTCCCAGGATTTGGGGTGTCACAGGATTTTGGGGTGTCCCGGGATTTGGTGTGTCCCAGGATTTGGGGTATCCCGGGATTTGGTGTGTCCCAGGCTTTGGGGTATCCCAGGTATTGATGTGTCCCAGGATTTCGGGTGTCACAGGATTTTGGGGTGTCCTGGGACTGGGGATGCCACAGGATTTGGGGTGTCTGGGATTGGGGGTGTCCCGGGATTGGGGATGTCCCGGGTTTTGGGGTTCTCCAGGTCTTGGGGTGCCCCCTCACGCTGCCACCCCAGGGGACGCTCACCGCGGTGCCTACACCGCCTTCATGAAATCCCATCGCTGCTACGACCTGATCCCCACCAGCTCCAAACTGGTCGTCTTCGACACATCCCTGCAGGTGTGCCAGGGCCGGGGGGGCACTTTTGGGGCCGGGGAGGCACTTTTGGGGCTCCCTGACCCCCGTGCCTGCAGGTGAAGAAGGCGTTCTTCGCGCTGGTCACCAACGGTGTGCGGGCAGCCCCGCTCTGGGACAGCAAAAAGCAAAGTTTTGTAGGTGAGCGAAGGCTCCGGGGGTCTCTGGGGGCTGAGGGGGGCTGGCAGGACCCTCCTCACCCTGCCTGCCCCCCAGGAATGCTGACCATCACCGACTTCATCAACATCCTGCACCGCTACTACAAATCTCCCATGGTGAGGGCCGGGGTCTGCGGGGGGCTCAGGTCGGGCTCTGCCTGCCCCACCTGACCCTGGGTGGCTGATCCGGGTTTCTCCTCCTCCTCCTCCTCACAGGTGCAGATCTATGAGCTGGAGGAACATAAAATAGAGACGTGGAGAGGTGAGGGGGTCACTGCTGGCTGCCTCCCACCCTTCCCAGCGTGCCCAGAGCCCCCCAGAGCCGTGTCCCACCCCCCATCCCCTCACCCACCCCTCTCCCCACAGAGGTTTATCTGCAAGACTCCTTCAAGCCACTGGTCTGCATTTCCCCCAATGCCAGGTACCCCGGGGGGCAGGGAGAGGGGCACAGCTGGTGGTGGCACTCCCAGGAACACCCCAAATCCCCCCTCCCTTCCCCCCCACAGCCTGTTTGACGCCGTCTCCTCCCTGATCCGGAACAAGATCCATCGCCTGCCCGTCATCGACCCCGACTCGGGGAACACGCTCTACATCCTCACCCACAAACGCATCCTCAAGTTCCTCAAGCTCTTTGTGAGTCTCTGCCCCTTGGTGATGGTGGGGGCCAGACCGGGACCCTCGGCCTGGGCTGTGCCAGGGCCATGCTGGGACCCCCAGCCTGGGCTGTGCCTGGTACCTGTTCCAGGTGTTACCCCAGGATGTTCACCCTGGGCTGTACCAGGGGCCACCCTGAGCCTCTCAGCCCAGGCTGTGCCTGAAGTTGCCCCAGAACCCCCATCCTGGGCTGTGCCAGGTCCCTGAGCCAGGTGCTACCCTGGGACTCCCATTCCAGGCTGTGCCAAGTGCCAGCCCAGGCTGTGCCACGCCCTGAGCCAGGTGCTACCATGGAACTCCCATTCCAGGCTGTGCCAAGTGCCAGCCCAGGCTGTGCCAGGTCCCTGTGCCAGGGGCTGCCCTGAGACCCCCACCTCAGGCCATGCCAAAAGCTGCCCCAGAGCCCTTGGCTGCTCCAGGGGTCACTCTGAAACCCCCAGCCTGGGCTGTGCCAGGTGCCTGCATGCCAGGTATCACCAGCTCTGGGTGGGCACAGCTCTGGTACCTCACCACACACTGCAGAGCCAGAGGACCCCCAGGACTCTGCGTGGACCCTGCGTGGGGGTCCCACAACCCCCCCAGCTCTCTGTGCTTCCCCCCACAGGCCTTGGCTCAGCCCTGTCCCCTCACTGTCCCCTCAGATCTCAGAGGTGCCCAAGCCTGAGTTCATGGCACGGACGTTGGAGGAGCTGCAGATTGGCACCTACAGGAACATCGCCGTGGTTGGCACCAGCACCCCCATCTACGTGGCCCTGGGCATCTTCGTGCAGCACCGTGTCTCCGCGCTGCCCGTGGTTGATGATTCGGGTAAGGATGTCCTGTCCTCGCTTTGGCTGTCCCCAGGTGACCTCCTTGGGGGCTGTGTCCCCTCCGGAGCACCAGGGGCTTGGCTGAGCTGCTCCCCTCCCTCCCCAGGGCGCGTGGTGGACATCTACTCCAAATTCGATGTTATTGTGAGTACTGCTGGGGGAAAATCCTGGGTTGGGGGGAAAATTCTGGGTTGGGGGGACACTGTGGGGGGTCTCCTAATCCCAGCTGTGTCCCCAATGCTTGTCCCTGCCCCAGAACCTGGCAGCTGAGAAGACCTACAACAACCTGGACGTGACGGTGACGCGGGCGCTGCAGCACCGCTCCCACTACTTCGAGGGGGTCCTCAAGTGTTACAAGCACGAGACGCTGGAAACCATCATCAACCGCCTGGTCGAGGCTGAGGTAACAGTCCCGGGGTGCTGGGGGGTCAGGTAGGGGGGAGGCTGGGGTCCCTGCACCCCCTCAGACCCTCCTTGTGTCCCCCCTCCCCAGGTCCACCGGCTGGTGGTGGTGGATGAGAGCGATGTGGTTAAAGGGATCGTCTCCCTCTCGGACATCCTGCAAGCCCTGGTCCTTCCCCAGGGCCCCTGAGGCAATGGGGGGGGGGGTTCAGTCCTCCCAACCCCCCCGACTCTCTTCTCCTGTATCACTGTGCCCCCCCTGGGCTGATGGGGACACCCGGGGAATGCCCCCACTCACCAGCAGCATCCAGCAATAACCCCCAGCCCTGGGCCAGCTCCTGCTGCCTTTCTCTGGGTGGGGGGAGCCCACAGCCCCCCCATGCCGTGCCCTGCACCCCAAAGCCGTGTGGGGCGATGGGGGCAGCCCTTGAACCCCCTGGGGTGCCAGGCTGGGGTCACCCTTAGCCATGCCAGGGCTGTTCCTTGTGTGGCCTCTTGTCCCTGTCACCCTGCACCCTCTCCCTGGGTTTGGTGAAACCCACTCAGCTCCACCCGGCCCGGGGACCCCCCCACGCCCCCGGGGGTCTCCCCCCAGGTTCCCCCGGCTGTGCCCACACCCGCCACCGCTTCGTGTGTGAAGAGAAGCCACGAATAAACACAGACCTGGCACCACCCTGGCTCCGTGCAGGGCACGGGGGGCATTGGCCAGGGAGGGGGTGTGTGGGGAGGGGCTGTGGCCCCCCCGTGGGAAGGGGGAATCTGCTGAGCTCGCCCAGACCCTAAATCCCTGTTTGTTACGCCTGTGGCTTTTCTAAAAAGCCAGGATTGGGGATGGGACAGAGACGGGGACCTGGCAGGACATGGGGACCCTCTGGTGGGCACCGCGGTGAGCGGGGGGAGTCGGGCAGGGTCTGGGGGAGGTGGAGGGGGGAGCTGGATGTTAGGGTGCCGTGGGGGGCTGGCGGGGGTCGCGGGCAGCTGGGACACCGCAGTTTGCAGCCGGTGTCCACAGGGGAGGCGCGAGGCCCGGCCCTGCTGAGCGAGGCACATTCCTGGCGGGGAGGGGACAGCCGGCCCAGGGACCCTGTCCGTGCCAGTCCCGGGGTCCGGCAGAGGCTGCGGAGCGAGGTGAGCGCCGGGCAGGTACCGGGGGGCCCGGGGGACTCGGGGGGGGTGCCGTGCCGGTTGCCATGCCGCCGCCGGAGGGTTGCTAAGCTCCGCTCGGAGCCCGCGTGGGCTGCAGCGCTTGGTGCCAAACCCGCCATCGCCTGCTTGTCGCAGGGGGGGAAGGGATCCCGCGGGGCGGCGGGGAGGGGGGGGGACACAAACACACACACGCGACACGACACCCCTGGGACGGCCGGTGAGGTCCCCACGGTGCACCGGTCTCCCGGGCGCCCGGGGGTCAGCGTGGCCCGAGGTGGCACCGGGCGGGACACGGGGTCCCCGGGGGCACACGTGCGGCAGGTGGGTGCGTGTGGGTGGGCTGGTGGCTCCGCCGAGGCTCCGGTGAGCCCCCCGCCGTGGGGACCCCCCTGCCGGCCGGGGCCATGCTGGGGGGTCCGGAGAGGGGTGCGGGGCGCCTGCGGATCTGCGAGCGGACCAAGGTGGTGCTGGTGGAGATCGACACGGTGGCGTGTTGCAGCCCGGGTGCCACCGGCATGGCTGCGGGCTGCTGGCCCGAGCCCCCCTGGACCTACCGCCGCATCGCCGGGGAGTACGCGTGAGTGGGGACCGCGGGGGGGGTGAGGGGGGGGTCCGTCCTGCTCCCCTCCCTCGCTCCCCTCACTCCCCCTCTCTGTCTTGCAGGTACCTGGAGAAGCGCTTTGTGGCCGAGCTGGCCCCCCCCTGGCCCCCAGTGCCCTCCAACCCCCCTTGTCGCCTGCAGGACTTCACCACCCGGCCCCGGGTACCCCCCACCCCCTGCCCCCCGCGGCAGCTTGAGGGGCCAGGGGGCAGCGGAGCCTGGGGGGGGCACCCTGTGCCCGTGCCTCGGCCCCCGGTGTCGGGGGACAAGCTGGGCCCCCCCACCTACGAGGTGCACATGCAGCGGGTGCAGGCAGCCCACGCCCGCCGTGGGGGACCCCCCCCTTACATCGCACCCCCCGCCTATGACGGTCCCCACCGCACCCTGCAGCTCCGCCCCCTGCGGGGTCCCCGCAGCCCCCCGGCGGCTCCTCGGGCCCGGGGGGCTGTGCCGGGCGGCTGGAGCCACACACTGCCCCGGGCGGCCACCGAGGCCAAGCACCGGTGGCCCCGTGGGATGCAGCTATCCCCAGGAGGGCCTGGCACCCCCCGGCACTGCCAGACGCTTCCACGGGCATCAGCCGGCCGGGAGCGGGCACCGGGGCGCGGGAGGGGGCAGCGGGGGACGGGGGGACACGTCCTCATTGACGCCACCCGCGTGGTGGTCCGTGCCCAGTACGTGCCACCCCCGCAACGACAGCAGGTCCGCTATGCCAGGGCGTCCCTGGGGCCTGGCACCCCTCCTCGCAGCCCTTCCGTGCCCCCCGGGATTGGCAGCCCTTCTGCTGCGCCCTCGCCCCCCCGGGAGCCCTCCGGCAGCCCCCGCAGCCCGTGGCAGAGCCCGGGGGGCTGCAGGGGTGCCCGCGGGCGGCCCCCGCCGCGGCGGCCGGTGCTGTACGCCCAGGCGCTGCGTGAGGCCGTGTCCCGCATCCGCCGGCACACGGCGCCCGACTCGGACTCGGATGCCGAGGGCAGCGTGGGGGGCTCCCGGCAGCGACTCTGCCGAGACCCCCGCGCCTACAGCAGCAGCAGCAGCAGCCTGGAGAGCACCGGAGCCCCCCCGGGCTCCGCCAGCCCCACCCCTGCCTGAGAGGAGGGGCTTGAAGGGGTGTGGCACTTCTGGGGCGGGGCTTAGCGGGGTGTGGTTCTCAGGGGAGGGGCTCGGGTGGTCTCGGTGGTGGGGCTCAGGGCTGGAGTTCCCACCGGCTGACCCCAATAAAAGCTCCGGGATCCCGGTGTGCTGCCTCTGCCCCTGTTTGTGTGAGGTCGGGGATGGGGGCATCACCTCCTCAGCAAGGACACAGGTGTCTGGGCACGCCCCCATGACATTCCCGGTGTCTGGACCCCCCCCGTTATGGTGCCGGGGTCAGTCGGAGGTCCCGGGTGTCCCGGCGGCCACCACAGTGCGTCACAACACGGGCAGGACGTGCCAGCTCCCCCCGTATCCCCCATAATGAGTAGGTGAGCACAGCAGGGCTGGCCCTCGGCCACCGACCCCACGTCACGGCCGTGGGGGGACCCCGAGTGACTCACCCGGGGGGGGAACTGTCCCCCCCCAAGCAGCCGCCACCTCTTAGTCACGCTGCGGGGGGGGGAGGATCCCCGCGGCCCCAGGAAACCGCACAAATATCGTGTCCAATTTGCACGTTATTTAAAACCGGCTCCTCCCCCGCCCCCCTGCGCGACCCTGTCATTATCGCGGTGACACCGGCCCGGAGGTCACGGCACGGGGCAGCTGTCGCAGCAAGGCCACCCGGTAGGCTGGGGGGGCACCCCCAGGGCCACGTCACCCCATGTGTCCCCTGTCCTGGCACGTGGCCAAGGTGGCATTGGAGTCCCACACCTGGGTCTGGCTTGAGCCACAGTGACAACTGCAGCCCAGCGTGGCACAGGTGTGGCCCTGCAAACGGTACAGTGACACCTGGCACTGCTTGGCATGGCCTGGCACGGCACAGGATGGTTGGCACGGTGTGGTGTGACCCACGTGTCTTGTCACGGATTGTCACGGCACGATGCAGTCTGCCACGGCCTGGCACAGTTTGGAACGTGGCTTGGTATGGCCCAGCACACCTTGGCACAGCCTGGTATAGCCTGGCACAGCTTGGCATGGGTCAGCTTGGCACAGCAGCCTGGCATGGCTTGGCAAAGCCCAGAAGAACAAAGCACAACTCAGCAGCCTTGGCACGGCTTCGAATGGCAAGGGACAGCTCAGAACAGCTCGGTGCAGCCTGGCAGAGCTTGGCACAGCCTGATACCACCTGACATGGCTCAGCACGGCTCAGCATGGTTCAGCAAAGCCCAAAACGCTTGGCACAGCCTGTTTGGCATAGCTCAGCACAGCTGGGCACGACTTGGCACACCTTAGCACAGCCTGGCATGGCTCAGTTTGGCACGGCACAGCTTCACAAAGCCCGGAACAACCCAGAACAGCTCTTTGCGACTTGGCACGGCTTGGCACAGGCTGGTATAACCTGGCACGGCTCAGCACAGCCTGGCACAGCCCAGCACAGCGCGTCAGGCTCGGCGCGGTGCCCGGCGTGGCGCGGGGTGTCCCAGACGCGGGGGCAGCGGCGCGGCCCTTCCCGTGGGATCAGCTCCTGCCCAAACCCGCTCCCCGCCGGGAAAATCACCTTCTAATTCGGGCTGCTCCGGCGCCAGCGCCTTCCCCCGGCACCCCCGGGGCACCCGCCGGCCCCCCAAAGTCGCCGCAGCCCGGGGTCCCCCCGGGGCCAGGGGGGGCTCAGCCCGTGGGGTGCCAACGCGTGGGAGCGGGGGGTCCCGCCCGGCAGCGGAGCCCCCGGAGAGGGACGCGTTGTCGCCTGTGGCCGCCAGATGTCGCCGCGCAGCCGGTGACCGAGCGCACCGGGGGGCACCGGGGGGCACCGGGGGGCACCGGTGGTCCTGCCTGTCCCGGGAGCGGTGCTGTGTCCCCAGAGAGCCGTCAGCCACGTGTGACATCCGTGCCGGTGCTGTCTGAGAGTCACGGCAGTCCTGTGTGTCACCGGGGCTGGCGGTGTCCCCAGGGAGCTGTGACCCTCGCGTGTCACCGGTGACGGTGGTGTCCCCAGAGGGCTGTGTCCGTGGATGTGCCAGCTCTGGCTGTGTTCCCAGAGAGCCGTGACCCGCATGTGTCGTGGGTGCTGGTGGTGTCTGAGAGCCTCGTGTGTCACTTGTGACAGCGATGTCACCACAGACCTGTGCCCATGTGTGTGCTGCTGCTGTCCCCAGACAGCCGCGACCCGTGTGTGTCACTGGTGGTGACTGGCGTCCCCAGAGAGCCGTGTCTCATGTGTCACTGCTGTTGGCAATGTCCCAGAGGAGCCACGTCCATGTATGTGCCAGCGCTGGCAGTGTCCCCAGCGAGCTGTGACCTTCGTGTGTCGCCGGTGACAATGGTGCCCCCAGAGATCCGTGTCCGTGTTTGCGCTGCCGTTGGCAGTGTCCCCGCGGCGCCGCGACCCGCACGTGCAGCTGGCACCGGCCATGCCACATCCCACGCGTGCCAGCAGCACTGTCCGTGTCCCCACAGCGCGGTGTCACCTGGTTACCCGCCACCTTCCTGAGCGTCCCCAGCGTGTCCCTGTCCCAGCGCTCCTGCCCGCGGTGCCGGCTCTCCCAGGCCGCGCGAGGAGCCGGTGGGAAGGGTCCGGTGAATGCGGCATTGTTGCGCGGGGTTGGAGTCACAGATAATTACCTCAATTAGTTACAATGGCAGAGTAATAAATACAGGCTTAGCGGCTCCTTCCCCACTGCGGCTTCTCAGATTAATCCAGCCCGGGCGAGCGGAGCTGAAAGGATTGATGGACAATTCATTAAACCCGCCGAATGCCGCACAAGGCACCCGTGAAGGCCGGCGTTAGCCCCCGGCGGCTCCGCTTTGTCCCTAATTGTTCGTCTCGGGCATTGGTCACCTATCAGGGAGTGGG